CCCCCATGCCACCGCCGGCTCCACGTGGCAGCAGCAGCGGGATGGGATGCCGCTCTGCCCCCAGGCTCCCCCCTCCCTGCCGAAATGCGGGTGCGAGGGGGTCCCTGGCCCTCCCGCGCCCACCTGGTGCCACCGAGGCGTTTCCAGCCACGCTGCCCGCCAGGGTGCTGGGAGGTCCCGTCCGCTCCGCCAGGGCTGCAAGGAGGAAGGGGCAGAGGGCGTGAGGGGCTGAGCCTGCCGGGACCCCCGTCCCCGTCCCCCTGCCCGGGGCTGGACGGCCCCTCTGAGCACGGCAGGAGGATGGGGCTGATGGCTGCGGGACAGACGGGTGTGGCGCCGGGCAGATGCACACCCAGAGCCCCGCTGAGAGCTGGCAGCCGTCGAGGCGAAAGCAGGAGTGAGGTCAGTGGGTATCGGGCGGCCAAACCCACCCCCCCCCCACCCCCTTTTTTGGCTCAGCCCCGGCTCTCCTGGCAAGGCGCGGGGACGCGGCGAGGAGCAGACGGGCCGGCTGCTGCCAGCGCCGGAGGCGAAGCGGACGCCTCACCGCTCCCGTGCCGGCTGCTGGGCGCTCGGCGGCTCACAGATGGCAAACTGGAGGGATGTGGCTCTGCTGGACCCCAGCACACAGCCGTGGGGAGGGTGGGTGGCAGACGGGGAGGGTGACGAGCAGAAGGAGAGGGTGCAGGAATGTGCACCCTGGCCCCCAGAAAAGTGATGCTGATCCAGGTAAGGATGGCCAAAATGGCATCCCCGGGCTGCCGCAAAATGGATGGCGCCGTGCGGAGCCCCCTCGAGCCCTGGCCACGCGGACACGGCTCTCTCGCACCCCTAAAAGTCAATCCCCGTGTCCTCACATCAGCCCTCCGAGGGGCGGAACATGCCCCGGGGCCAAATCCTGGCGTGGGGTCTGCTCGCAGGACGGGAGAGGCAGAATCCGGCCCTAAATATGGCGATATTAGGACACGACTCACCGGTGGGAAAGCCGAAGCGTGGGGTGCCGTCACGCGCCCGGGCTGCTGTCGCCGCTGCCGCCTCCCGGCTCGCCGCCCCTGCTGACAGAGAGGGTCTGCCCGCTGCCTGTACCCGCCTGCCCGCACCCCCAGCACGGCCCCCTGCGGGTCGGTGCCGCGGGTGAGTGGATGCTGCTGCCAACGTGGTCTCATTTTAGGTTTTTCCCTCTCCCCGGGCACCCCAAGGGCACGGCATCATTTCGGGCGCGGGGGCTCGATCCCATCCTCCCTGTCCCCTCTCTCCCGTCCTTTTGCCTCAACACGCATCAGCAGCCCGCTGCAGCCGAGCCGCTCGCCGGGCTCCCGCGGTCATCGACGGAAAAATTCACCATCTGGCTCCTCCCGGGTGA